GACCAATATGTAATACTGCCACTGGAATCAATGAAGTCGCCCCGGAGCGCCAATTAATTTTCATTGTTGTTTTTATTTTATTTTTATCGTTGTTTTAATAAAATGTTCTTTCCTAATAATGAAAAGAAATAAAAAAACTTTACAATTCAGTTGAACAAGAAACGATGTGTTGGTTTCTTGCATATATTTCCGAAACTAATCAGATATTTAAAGTTCGAAAAAGACCTGAAGAGCAGAAAATTTTATATTTCCAATAGCGCGATGAAAATACTTTCAAAAACGAATGGTTTGGCTCGCTAACGCGATATCCAATTCGTTGGCTTCAAAAAATTTTTCAACCCATCAAATATGAAAATTAGGAAATGAAAAAAAACTTTGTGGATAGTCGAATAAACAATGATGAATTGGCAACAAATTTTTTTCGCAATTTCGCAGTTTCGTTAACTGATAATTCGAAGTTTTATATTAAACCTTGATGATTTTTAAATTCAAGCTGGATTTTTCCTTGATTGGAACTATTTTTTGGGGACTTAAAAATATCCTCACTGAGAAATTGGATAAAATCAATATTTATCCATGAACATTCAAAGACATTGAAAACTTGACAACATAAATATAGCATTGAATTTTTTTTCCAAATAATCTGATTGATTTATTTTCATATTGAAGAATGCTGCATCAATATAATTTTTTATATTGATGAATGAATGTATTGTTTATGAGAAAATTACAATTTTTCCAGAATGTGATAATCAAAAATGACTTGAAAAATCTTTCCAGAAAACGCATTCATCAATCAATTATCTATTTTTGACAGCCGGTAAATATTGCTGTTCTTTTGTATACTGAAAAAAATTATTGTTATTGATTTTTTTATTCGTTTATTTGATGAACAATTTCTTGTAAACAAAACCATCCAACACTATATTTGTTGAATAATAAAAATTTAATGAAAATAACCATGTATCATTTTGAAAGAATTGGAGTGTATCTATGATTTCTCTCAGAGGCTTCCGTTCCATCATTATTATATCCATCAAAAATATATTTAACGTTATCTAATGTAGGCACTCTTACTATTTTGATCAGTAAACAATTATATCATACACTAAAACTGCACAATATTGATGAAAATCTTAGTTGGAATACACATATTCAAGAACTGCGATGAAAAATTTCACCGATTATCGGTATTCTTCATAGAATACGAAATCATATTGATTGCAAATATTTGATGAACATATATTATAGTTTCATATATTCTCAATTGGAATATTTAATTTCCATGTGGAGATCTGCAAATACCGCAATTCTAAAACCTTTAAAAAACTTCAGAATGAATCTGTCAAACGTATTTATAAACTTCCACGCTTAGAACCAATTAAAATTTATATAAACCGTGGAGATTATTGAATTTGTATTCACTTCATCAATTGGCAATTTGTTCTTTCATTCACTTCACCATTATAAATGAAAAATACAGCAGTTAAAAATTCACTGGAAATAATTTTACTTGCCACACGAGAATATTTCAGGAATTATATCCGAGCAGACCAAAAACGAAAATCGGTTAACGTTGCACCTTGCATAATGGTGTAATAATGAGCTGCCAGTCAAGTTTAAAAATATAAAATTTGTTTTCACTTTTGAAAATTCATCTTTGAACATGTTTATATATTTTATACTCTATTTGAGTTTGGATTTCTCTATTATTAAAAGCCAATGTTTCTTGGGAAAGTTAAAAATAAAGTTGAAAGTTGAGTCCACCATCTTATTTTCAATGGGAAAGGGAGTTGAGTGATACATGGTTCACGTTTGAGAATCGGCCACTCATTTAGAAAACGTTGAAATTTCAGGCCCTTTTTCACAAATTCGTGTTTTTGGATTTGTACGAAAAGTTCCTAGTAGTAAGTTTTATATTGCGGTACGTTTTCCTACTCGGTACGATGGTAGAAATCAATTTTGTTTTTGAAAGATCAATATAAATAGCATTCCATCAGGGAGACACAGTTCCGCATAAAAAGCCGCTTCTTCCCTATAAACGTCATGTCAAAATTGCAAATGAAAATAATAGAGTCAAATGACACCTTATTCGGAAGGTCTCTCAATTCTGTATGAACTTTGGAAATATTTACAAGG